TCACTGCCTTCTTAATGAATCTTAATGAATCAAGGCTCTGACACACATGCCAGGCAGTGTGCTGCCATACCACTGCTGGCATGGATGCTATGCTCTGAGAAAGACGGCAGTAAGTTGAAATAAAGAAGCCTAGGCTTTTATGAGGGATTCTTTACTTTTCAGGAAAACTAGCAAGCGATTATGTGAATTCACCGTTGCTGATACAGCACAAACCTGCCAATCTGCTAACTCATTCGAGTAAATCTCTGCACCTTGATCTGCAGCGCAAACTTTAAGCAAAGTTTTCATGATCGTTCAGCAATCCAACCATATGATATGGTCGTGTTTAACCAATGTCCGTGACAGAGTTCAGGTCGCTGCAATACTTGTGCATTCATGTAAAATAAAACACCCACAGTGCTGATGGGAATCCATATGAATTACTGTCTGCAGCAAGTCATCAGGGATGCCTTTAGCTCTGCAACCCTCCTCTGGCATGGACAAATCCTAATCAATGCAGCACATCTGTACAGCGGAGGAAAAGCCCTTCCCAATCCCTTCAGGCCATGAACTGAAGCATGACATTTGATTAGCCTTATTATCACAACTCATTTATACATAAATGTTGTTAGGGGGCATGAAGCCATCCAGCCCTTACTAAAAACTGGCCACAGTCTCTGAGCTGATGGTCCCACTCTTCTTCCTTTTTGTCTGTAAAAACAAGGAGGGATTTCTCCTTTTGAACTGAGGGTTATAATTTTTGCAGTTTTATTATTGTAGAATAACCTCCTTCTCCTACATTAGCACAGCAGACTGTTGCCATACCCCCTCACATATGCAAATAGGTCAGGCTTTCTAGTCTTTCCCCACAGAGATATTTGACATTGAGACTCAACATGATCTAGCATCTTTCTGAACTAAAGGCCAGGGGAATAGCGCGCAGGACATTATTTTCAAATGTATCTCTCATGGAAATTAATGAACATCTGTGCAGACACTGAACGTGAATTCAGGCAACAGAAACAAAACCCATCTGCAATATAGCTTAAGGTCTAGGAATACCTAATGGTAAGGATCTTTGTCTTTGCAAGCTGAGGATGTCTTCCCTTCCCTTTGAAGAGCCAGAGTACTTCTCAGGTCACAAACTTACCTTGCTCTAAAGGAAATGGGATGATAGGAGGGTTATGAAAGATATTTCTGCATGAACAAGGAGCAAAGTTGCTGACGTGTAGTCCTAAGAAACACAAAGATCTGAATAGAAAACATTCATTAAGATTCTTTTATAGACTCTGTAAATTACTTTCTGTTTCACTGTCAATACAATCCAGCAGTGAGGCAAACAGGAACACAAAATTCACGTTAAAATCTCGTAACACCATAAATATTTTTCTACAGTTGTAATGATTTCAATGCATCTCTTATCTAATGGATTAGATTACTTAGTCTAGGCCAATCTTATTTTTGATACACATACTGAATATTACATAATTTAATGTAAATGAATACCTGTGAATTTAAAGAAGAAATCTCATCATAGTTTCCTGAGCAACTGAAGGCATGCTACCTGCCCAGTAAAAACAGCCAAAAAAAAGAGAAAAGGCTCCAAACTAATCTGGTTTTGCTTTTTTTGCTTTGAAGATGTTCCTTTTCAACGGGCTTTTTCTAAGGCAAAATTTTCGTTTATAATTGTATCATTTTTCATATGTGAGAAAACTATACATCCCAATGGTCTCACCAAGCTCTGTTTAGTGCTCGTATCTCCGCTCTCCATCTTGAGATAGCAGCTGCTGTACGTTCAGGCTAAACTACAGCTCTGCCGAGATGAAAAGGAAGCGTGCATGCACATAGACCTTTCTTCGTGACACTTTAATTTGCTCCATGGCCTTAATAAATACACCAGCATTAAGCATACTCATGCAAACCACAGCTCTAAAAATAACTCACTTCAGACATTCAGATGTTTTTCCACGTTGCTTCCAGTAACACCGCTCTTACTGCTAGGAACAATCATTAGCACAGGCAGGGATTTATCATCAAAAAATCACACTTGGAAAAGCAGCAGGGATGCTCAGAGACGTAGCAGGGGACTAGCTGAGGGGTCACATTAGTATTCCCTGAGCATTAATGGAAAAAGCCGGGCAGTGTGGCTGGGCCACTGCAGCGAGTGGGGTAAGCAGGCATGGGCAACCCTGCTCGTTCATCATACCCACATCTGCCAGCATGGCCCACAGGTGAGGGCTGGGGGCCACCAAGCTGCAGGGTCTCCCCATAGTCCCTGGGGAGACATTTTGCTCAGAGGCCAGAAATCCACGCACCCCCTCAGTCCAGCACCCTTCCCCAGGCCAAAGTCTTCCTCGGCAGGCACCCCAGCCTACCTTGTCGGAAGAAGAGGGGCTGGTAGGAAGGACGGCACAGCCTCTTCCTTCGCTTCGCAAAGACGATCACAACCTTGCCCTAACCTAATCGCTTTTTCTTTTTGTCTCAGTATTCTCGACAGAACAGGAAGAGGTATTTATGACGAAGGCTGTGCAAACGGCAAACAGACCAGGCAATGAGAGCAGGATATGCAGTATTCTTGAACGAGTTTTTACTCTTAAATGCAATTCTCTTTATTGCATCCTAAAACATGCCTGCCTTTATTGTAAAAAGGCAAGCAAACTGAATATATAGAGCAAACCAATGGCCTACAAACACACATAGCTCAGAGACAGAACCTTGAATTTAAAAAAAAACCCCACCCGATTTTAATAAAAAATCCCTGCTATATGCCTTGGAGCAAAGGCTCTGGGGATAAAATTCTTAAACCGGTGAGCCCTGAGCACAGTCTCAACACTCAAACTGGGAAGACAATGCTGTGATTCATCAGAGCTACGAAAACGGCAGTGTTTCTTACTACGCACTTACTATGCATGCATTTTTCTTGTTCTTTTCCTCCCAGCTTCTCGCTCTTTTGGTTTTTTTTTCTCTATTTCTTTTCTTCCTTTCCCCCTCATTATTTGTGTTCTCACCCAGCAGCAGTGTAACTTTATGCCTGGAGGAACTGCAGAGGAGACCAGAGCCTTTCCATGTGCAATGGCCTACTGGGCTGATACAGAAGAAACCCGACTTTTTTCCTAGCTAGGGCTAAGGCTATTTACTCCTGCACCAAGAAGGCTGCAGAGAAGAACTGAAGCAGGACGGAGTCACACGAAGCCCTCACCAGCCGCAGAACTGTGCCTGCCGCTTGCCAGGGCTGGAGCAGGGGCTGTGCAGCCGACCCATGGAGCCAGGCTGAGGGCCGGCGCCTGGGGGCCAGGTCCCACCCAGAGATGTGTTGCTTTAGGTACCTGGCTGCTTCCCCACAGGCCATTTTCACAGCGCCGCCCTCACTTGTGCCTCTCTCTCTACTATCTACCAGGATAAGGACTTTTGTTCAGCTTGGGATTTTTTAATTTTAGCTCATTGAAACTGGATCCACTCAATTTTTGCATCCCAGATATGCAACCTCTCTGAGGGCTTGTTCCATTTAGATCCCTGTGCATTAGGTACATTACTGTCGGTTCAGGTTTTAACAAATCTGAGAGCCAGAAATGATTTTGAAAAACCTCGAACTAACTTCCAATGCTGGACATCCTGTAACGGTTGCAATATTACGGTATTGCATTTGGACTTTGTTCTATTAAACCTAGCCTGAACTTGGCTTTGGCTTTTTAAAGAGGCTTTAGAAGACTCACGTTCTCTAAAAGCCACTGAAGGAAAAATGGCATATTAAAAAGGGTTCAAGAAGCTACGCGACTAGTTCATGGAAGACAAAACCCATCAAGAGCTATTAAATACTAAGTAAGAAATTCTCAAGCCTTGAATTTTTAGGCTACAGGAGTATTTTCAGGAGTATCATCAGTAAATGCCTGCCCTGTTCTTGCCCTCGTTGGACATCAGTTGCTGTCCATTGTTGGGGAGAAGGTGTTAGGCTAGATAGACCTTTGGTCTGACTCAGCTTAGCCATCACTCTGCTACTTCAAGCCACCCACACAGTCATGCTTTTTTTTTTATTAACACTGGTGAGAGAAGTATCTCATATGCCGATGAGTTAATTCAAAGCAAAAAAAAAAAAAAGAAAAAAAAGACAAAAGATATGTACAGTTTTAGTCATATGTGTAAAGCAGAATTTGGATGTCATGCTTGCCATAGAAAATGTTCTCTCACCATCAATAAGAAATCTGTTTTCTGGTTTTTGAAAAAAATGTATCTCACAATGTAAGTGTTACAAACAGCAGTTCTTTCTCTACTGCTTGTAAAAATGAATGCTTTCCATTCATTTACAAAAAGACTATCAGAAAATATATTATTACTAGGGGTTGGTAGGAGGCAACATCAAACAGCATGTCAGCTCTGAAAGAGAAATGAACCATGGAAACGGACTGAACGCAGGAACCGACCGCTGAGGTTCATCATGCAGGCGAGGAGCTTCCCCATGGAGGCCACAACGCAGGACGGGCAGCTGGGGAGATCTTCAGGTAGGCTGGCAGAGGGCTGACCCCACTCCTGACAACTCCACTGCTGTTCAAGGCCAGCTCTGTGGGTGGCCAGGTGGCCTGGCAACGCAAACGTGACCCATGGCCAACATGGGCAACACGAATTAGCTAGAGTAAGTGATATGGCACCTGTGCTGGTTTTAGGTGTTCGCATGTGCCCGGAGCGAGAGGACGGATGATATCAGATGGGGGCACAGAGCGACGCAGAGCCAAACCACCTATTGTGGCACAAAGTCTTCTGGCACAAAACTGATTTATCAACTTCTCCTGAACAGCTTGAATCAGCACAGTGAGTCTACGCTGGAGTAGTACTTTGCACCCTTTTGAGCAAAAGTACTAGGAGATCTGAAGCCAGTTCGATCATATTGTCAAACTATGGCCTCGGTACCTAACCTGTTACAACCGTCCAGGAGTTACTTTGGATTTACGAGCATGCAACCGCACCAGGATGTTTTAGCTTAGTTTTGCTGCCCTGCGCGCTTCTTCTCTATGTCTGTCCTAACTTACCTAACCTCAGCAATTCTTTCCACGTAATATACATCTTCTTGCTCCAGTGTACTAAAACTATATGAACAGGAAGAAAGTAAATGACACAACTGAAATATTAAATTCCTTAAATGTTGAATATCGCACATAAAATTTAAAGCAGTACAACATATTTAATAACACTACCGTGTCAATTCTAGGAGAAAATAAATGTATAAAGGCCTCTATTACAAGGTGAAATATCATCCTCCGGATTAGAAAATGCCAGAAATAATATTATTTGTGCAGCTTTATTTTGCCATTATGATACCATATTTATTTGCAATAAAAATTATTATTTTTCCACAGGGCCCCTGCTTTGTTCAGCGCACAGAACAGGCAGTGCTCAGCAAGTGAGATGCCTGTTCAGTATTTCTTTTTATCGTCATCCGAAAGCACATAGTTCAGTGTTTTATTTACAGCATGTCGCACAGACTCTGCTCTGGGTACAGAATGTCACATTGCCTTATCGCCTTTACTATCGCCATCATCCTTGCAACAGACTGTACTTCATTTTTTTTTTTGGCTCAGTATTTCCTGCAACTCCTACCATAGTCATATCCTCACACTTTTGCCCATTGAATCTTGATTTCTTTTGGGTTAAAAGGAAACAGCACCAAACCAAAGACGGGGGACAAACCCCTTCCTCGAAGAGGCAGGAGCCACTGTAGAGCCGCAGCGGTCTCGTGGGCAATGGGGGAGGCAAGCTCAAGTCAAGAGCAGAGGAAGAAGATGAAGACACATCTCTTCCTTTCTCCACACCACCCCCAGCTTTTGGCAAAAGCAGCTGTGACAGCTGTTTGGTGTGGCACCCATGCACATCTGCAGGTGCCATGTGCACCGCATGGCTCCTGAAGCCCAGCGTTCCCCACCTGTGCTCCCTGTGGGGGACACGTGGGGCCTCTCAGACCCCTCTGAAACAGGTTGCTGTACTGCACATCCACAGTAACACAACTGGAAACTCCTAAGCAACCTCATTAATCACAGATCAGGCTTCCCGTGACAGTGGAATCAGGCAAGGTTTTTGACTATGAGACTACCAGCCGTGGTACTCACTCCTTATGGCTTGGGGTCTCAGACTACTTCATTAAATACCAGCATCTTTGGAAATCAGGCCACCCCTTTTCAATTCCAGCTGGAATCCTGAACCTTAGAAACAGTATTTTAAAACATCAGCATCTTGAAGATTTTGTAATTTATCCACCTTACAGTCTTGCTGTGTGTACTGACTGCAAGTGTGCATGGCCCGGGATGATGAAGCGGTTATCGGTATGAAAATACCATTACTGCTAAACGATCCATTCTCCCTCTCACTTTTTGTTTGGAAATGGCTGTCTCTTATTTTTCATTGCATCTTTCAGGCAGTACAAATCTTAATAAGGAAATGACTGACATTAATAAGGCAGTAATGCGTTTTCGGAGCCATCACTTGGTGGCAGATGCTAGGAATAACTAGGACGTGGGTAATGGACAATTAAAAGAAAGATGTTCACGTGGCATGGCTTATTTTGTCCATGTATTTCTCATCAAGAAACATATTCTTGAGCACAAGAACTGAAAGGAGGGTGTAGTGAGGTGGGGGTTGGCCTCTTCTCCCAGGTAACGGGCGATAGGATGAGGAGAAATGGCCTCAAGTTGCGCCAGGGCAGGTTTAGGTTGGACATTAGGAAAATTTTTTTCACTGAAAGGGTTGTTAAGCATTGAAACAGGCTGCCCAGGGAAGTGGTGGAGTCCCCATCCCTGGAGATATTTAAAAGAAGGATAGATGAAGTGCTTAGGGACAGGGTTTAGTGGTGGGATGGCAGGGTTAGGTTAACGATTGGACTTGATGATCTTAAAGGTTTTTTCCAACCTAAATGATTCTATGATTCTATGAACTATCTCAAAATAGTTGATAGGAAGAAAAAAATGCCTAACACAAAAGGAATATTTGATACATCCACAAATAATAGAAACCTTTCTCTTTTTTTAATCCAGAGGACGTATGGAGGCAATATGTCAGTCAATCAACATGTAATGTAACATCCTTCAAAAAGAAGTACATCTAGGCTACATAGAAAACTTGATTTTAAAATCAGCCTACCACTTTATACTCGCTAATAAGCACCACTTCACAAGCAAAGTTACTTGGAGACAAAAATAACAAGTCTGATGAGATGGTATGAGGGACCCGTTGACTATCTTGTCACCATTACTACCCTGCACAAAGTTAAAAGATGGGCCTGTGCACTTTGCTGAACAAACACAGGCTTTAACTGCCAAAAAAAAACCGGGACTTCAATTATCTGTGGACATTTAAAAAGTTATTATCTAATTCATTATGCAGAGAGACAGTTGTGAGCACAGTAAATTAGCTGGATGATAGGTGGACTGTACATGCTCTGAATTAGAGTAATCACAGTTTTATTTTCTCCGACGGGGACTTTTTCAGTCAAAGCGCAAATAAATGATGCAAATATGGGTAAGCAAATAATTATTGCAATATTGCTTCCGTTCTGGAGGTGTTTTGTGTTTGTTTGTGTTTGAAACCTGACTGCTTCAGACCTCAAGGGTCTGTGAGGAGGAGAGACCACAGCTGACAGGAACAGAGAAGCAAAGGCTACGAGCGCCCTGCTTCTGTCCAAACGCCTGCAAGAGCCCCTGTGGAAATGCAGAGGTGAAAGGCTGGGTAACCCCAGTGAGACACCGTGCCCCCGATTCATCCAGCAGCACCGCCGTGCAAGGGGGCAAACCAGGAGGGGGCAAACCAGCGTGCTTCAAAGAAGATAGACTCCTTCAGTTTAACTTTTCAGATAACATGGATGTTTTCTTTTCTTTCAAAGATGGAAATATGCCCCAAATACAATCATATGACTCTCTGCAGGATACAATATCAATGATTATGATTATGTGATGTTTGATCTCTTCTTTTTCAATGACTAAGTATCTCCTTTTTCAGACAGTCAAAGCTTTGGAGACTGTTTGGAGCCAATAATTCCATAAAATCTTTGCTTTCTTGTATTTCCTCTGGTCTTCGAAGTCTGTAGGACGCTACCGAACTCTTGAATCTCTCTTTTTTCCTGGAACCTTCAGTAAATTGAAATACTGGTTTCTGTGAGATCTATCTGTCGTGGAGAACAGGAGAGGTGCCTGATGACTGGAAGATAGCCAGTGTCACTCCAGTCTTCAAAAAGGGCAAGAAGGAGGACCCAGGGAACTACAGGCTGGTTAGTCTCACCTCTGTCCCTGGAAAGGTGATGGAACAACTCATTCTGAGTGTCCTCTCCAAGCAAGTGGACGACAAAAAGATCATCAGGAGTACCCAGCACGGATTCACCAAGGGGAAATCATGCCTGACCAATCTGATAGCCTTCTATGATGGCATGACCGGCTGGGTAGACAAAGGGAGAGCGGTGGATGTTGTCTACCTTGACTTCAGCAAGGCTTTTGATACTGTTTCCCATAACATCCTCATAAGGAAGCTCACGAAGTATGGGTTGGATGAGTGGACAGTGAGGTGGATTCGGAACTGGCTGAATGACAGGGCCCAGAGAGTTCTGATCGGCGGGGCAGAGTCCAGTTGGAGGCCGGTAGCTAGCTGGACAGGCTGGAGAGCTGGGCAAAGAGGAACTTGATGAAGTTCAACAAGAGCAAGTGTCGAGTGCTGCACCTGGGGAGGTCGAACCCCATGCACCATTACAGGCTGGGGGGTGACCTGCTAGATAGCAGCTCTGCTGAGAGGGACCTGGGAGTCCTGGTGGACAATAAGCTGACCATGAGCCAGCAATGTGCCCTTGTTGCCAAGAAGGCCAATGGTATCCTGGGGTGTATTAAGAGGAGTGTGGCCAGCAGGTCGAGGGAGGTTCTCCTCCCCCTCTACTCTGCCCTGGTGAGACCCCACCTGGAGTACTGTGTCCAGTTCTGGGCTCCCCAGTTCAAGAAAGACGAAGAACTCCTGGAAAGAGTCCAGAGGAGAGCTACTAGGTTGATAAAGGGACTGGAGCATCTCCCCTACGAGGAAAGGCTGAGAGAGTTGGGCTTGTTCAGCCTGAAGAAGAGAAGACTGAGAGGGAATCTCATCAATGCATACAAATATCTTAAGGGTGGAAGTCAAGAGGACGGAAGCAGTCTGTTTGCAGTGGTGTCCAGCGACATGACTAGGGGCAAAGGATGCAAACTGAAACATAAGAGGTTTCAGTTGAATATGAGGAAGAACTTCTTCACTCTGAGGGTGGCAGAGCACTGGAACAGGCTGCCCAGGGAGGTTGTGGAGTCTCCTTCTCTGGAGATATTCAAAGCCCGCCTGGATGAAGTCCTGTGTAGCATGCTCTAGGTGAGCCTGCTTTAGCAGGGGGGTTGGACTAGATGATCTCCTGAGGTCCCTTCCAACCCTTACGATTCTGTGATTCTGTGATTCTATTCTAAATAACGATTGCCCTGATCTATAGACTCTGTTAGGCCAAATTTCTTCTCGCTCTTCCCAGTTGTGAGCTCAGAATTGCCATGTATGTGTTTTGCCATGAAGCACTGAAATAACTGGTCTCTGTAAATTGTTTTTGGCTTAAGCGTCCTTGCTCTGGAAGCCTGGAGAGTATGCTCTGCCAGTGCTCTATGGTGTAGCACAGATCTCGATGGTTTGAGAACAGCTGTGTCTAGTTTTCCTTACCCTTTCAACATTTTATTTTATTTTAATTATGTGGATAAAAATCTTCCTCTTGGGAATCTGGCACTGGGAATGGGAACATTTATCTGAGAGAGAAAACACGCAACTTACGGGCATTCAAACACAGATTTTTTTCTGAGCTCACTCTTAAATGTTAGCCTCTCCTATTTCTAACCTGTCTTTTAGGATGAAAATGGTAGCATAAGCACATTCAAAGTATCTTCAGTTTAACATACTGCCTTTTGACTTCTGCTGATACTTACCTCCTCTCACAGGACTTTTAGGATAAGACCTATTTCATCTGATGTTAGCCAATGTTAAATATCTAGTCTCAGTTAGACATTTCAGTTACCTCTGCAGTCAACAGAGAAAGGTGGGTACCTCCAGAGATGATTTATCCCCTCCTAAGACAGCTGTCTGCAAGACATGGAATGCGTTCAGCTCTGAAGGTGTGCTCCAGTTGAGCTCTATATCGTTTCATTCACTTGTGCTTGCAACCCCCTGCCAGAGCCACCATCGCCCCATTCTTGATGTTGATGAGGTTAGATCAAATGCAACTCAGTGACTGACAGTCATCAGACTGAGTACTTAACTGCCTGCACTCGGTAGATGCTCCTTTCTTTTCAGCAATTGGTGAGCCATGCGGCAATCAGCCACAGTCTTTGATGACCAGCTGGCAAAGACATTTTCCCTGGATGACGCGCATTACATTACTGGAAAAACTACTTGGTTGCATCACTTCTTTTACAAAATTCTGACTTTTATCTCTTTGGCATTTAAAAAGTTGAGTGCTACTTGTCCTGTTTCACTGTTGTGCTGAGTTCTCCAGTTTTGTAAGTGTGGCTG